AAAAACATTGTTGTAGACAAACAGCTCTGCACGAGTCCTCACACATGGCCCCTGTGGTAAAACCAATAAGATGAAATGATGTTGGCATCACAAACAATAATGAATCTTTAACTTTTAAACTTGACCATTGTACCTTTTATATTATCAGCCAGTCCTTTAAGATTCACACTGAGTCATCTTAGATACATGGTGGGTTCAGAGAAGACAATGTACAGCCATAGAAAACTATTTTTACTTTTCAGCCTCCGAATTGTTAAGTGTCTGAGGGTGGATGTAATCAGGGGGAAACTCCAGCCAGTGAAGGTTTTCTCGACGGAGGTTTCGGACTCCACGTTGACTCCAGAGCGCTGGACTCGATGCAAGATTTGGGGCTGTTGCTCTCCGATTTAATCAGAGACACATCCCAGGACATTTGAGAGGCAGTGAGATCACTGAACGACTGGTCGGACAAAGCAACTTTTTGTCTTTTCTGAAGGAGCACGTAGGGAGTGGAGGACTTTCCCTGTAAAGGAACAGTCAGGTGACAGTTGTCTTTTTCTTGATTATTCATGTTGTTCACTGAAATCGTCACAGTGGGAGAAATGGGGTCTGATGACAGGCAGAGGAAAGCCAGGCCCGACAGCCTGGTGTCAGATCCATCAGCCATAGTTTCATTTGATGCCCTTGACATGGATAGCTGCTCCAGCGACAAAGCTGACATCAAACTCTGTTCACCAAAGAACTTCTTGTCAAGCTCTGATGGAGATGAACACTCAAAGCTTTTCATATCTAGGAAGTAAAATGTCACATATCACCTGATCAGATTTAAATAAATCCATTTGCAGAATAAAACCTATATTCTTACCTGTAATGACAAAAGCTTTCTCCATTGTTTCCCTGGGCCTGTGAGTGTCAGCTGAGGTCCAGGTGGCTTTTAAACATCTGAGGCTGCATGTTAATTGACTCAGCTGGAGAATGAACAGGTCATCAGTCTGAAGGAGGAAGGGGGGAGGGGGGGGGATGCAAGCCTCTCAAGCAATAGGCAGATCAGGCACGGACATGTTTGAGACGTTTGTTTGACATTTTTTCATATTTTCATGTATTATTCGAATTTATTTTTGAAATTTATGTCTGAAGAATATTCTAATTAAGAAATGTGTTAAGAAAACCGAACAAACAAAACAAGCTTATTAACTAATATTAATTTATTGCCTGAAAGTCTAAAA